TATCACTAGCACCAGCTTACACCAAATAACAACCTGTCTGCTTTAATCCTAAGGCCAATTCACTACACTTAGCAATCCAGTACTGGTGTGCATTTTTAAAAAGCCAATACAAAACTGCAGCTGCTCTCACTAGTTTTGTTTTTTATATTACGATTATAAAAGCAATCTTTTATTGTAACATACCTTGGTCTTTTTGCCCATATTCCTTAAGCAGTTTTTAACAAACTAACATTAAACAACATTAATGTAACATTAATATATATATATATATATATATATATATAAACACATCTAAATGCTTGTTAATATTTTAACCAAAATACCATATTTCAAAACGGATGTTTAGTATGAAATAATTAAGTTATAAATGAATAACTCTAAATATATTTTTTTGCCTAATAAAGCCTTAAATCAGTCTATATTTGCATATACAAAACTACTGAGTAAGTAACCTTATATAATTTCCATGTAAACCTCTCAAAAAGATAGTAGAGACTCAAATGATTCATTAATCTAGTAAATCCTGGTCTCATGTAACTTATCTTTATAATGCTAAATATTTAAAGAATTCTAAGGATCTTTTCTCACTGAAGTACTTTGAAATGATATCTATTTTATTAAGTTACAAGTACAATCCCCCCCCACACACACACAAAAACACAGATACATATAAACATAGGAAATTAACCCTTTAAATTATTATTGTATTTCATACATCTATATGTATGAAAAATGAATCCTAAGTCACAAAGTTATATTCACAATCCAGTTTTTACCTGTGATACAACTGGTGATAATAAAGATTGGAAACTATTTTATTTACCTGAAACAACAAACACCACTTTGGAGGTTTCATTAGTTTTTGTTTTTGTTTTTAATTAAGTGCTCTTCTAGCTTTACTTCATACATTTTTAAAAACGCATGAATAGTATTCAAATTGTTATGATCACTTCCTACTTCATTCCCCAAACAAAAACTTGATGTAGCAAAATAGTAATGTCTTATAATGACAAATCCATTAATCTAGCACATTTTACTCTTCTGTGTAATTTTAAAGTTCACTTTGATTTGATTGACTGTTTTAATCTTTCTTAACTAATGAGTAACTGAAAATAAATGGTGCATTCCTAATACTATAAACATGAAAAACAGGAACCACCTAGGGATGACAAGGGAATCCATTAAAATCAGTCACTTTTATAGTTAACATATTCTCCTTCTATTTGTGTACAAATCCAGCATATTGAGAAGACATCACAAATTCAAGCCCTCACAAAAACATTGTCATTGTCATGATTTCATGTTTTGACAGCAGCAATTGGTCCAAATCTCTGTTTCCCCTAAAGGACCTAGACTGGCTGGTGCCATCCAGGTGTGCACAAACTGAACGAGGGGAACGTCGCGTCAAATTCCACTCATCTGTCTGTGTAGTGGATTATTTCTTGAGAGACTGAAATTGGCTGCTTGGGATCAGAGAACCATCAATCTTACTGTGTAGAGGATGGAGAACCTGCCTCTGAGAGCAGCTGGCGGGTGGGGGGAGGGCAGTTAACGTTCCTAGGCAGGTGAGGAGAGAGATGTAAAGCCTTCTCTCTCCCTTCAGTCAGGACTCTGAGTGAAAGATTTGTCATTTTTCCCATTTCCTGGATACTTGGTATGCACACAGTGTCTGACTGCTCCTGCTTTAGGAAGGAGGCGATTTTTCAAGCTTAGGCAAATGTGGCAAAGCTCAGGGTCTGCTGGTGTCTCATTTTTTCTCATCATGTCACTTGTTTTAACCGATTTAAGAAAATGAGATTATGTTTTTCCTTTTTTGCTCATTTATCCAGCTATTTATTTATTTATTTGCTCATTTAGGGGTGGATTGTCACAGATAACTGGCCCTGATTTCTCTCTTGTTTTCATACACATTTCATTAGTGTCCCTGAAGATTTAAGACCCACAATGGGAAACATCACAACGCTCATCCCAAAAAAGCACACATTCACTCTGAAAATCAAAACAGAAGATTGTATTAAAGAAGATTGTATTTCTGACTGAAATACTCTAGAATATTGCTATGTCCATGATCTATCGCTTTAATCTTTGCAGCTATTGTTGAAAGCCCAAAAAGTTAAATAAACGCATTACATAGAACCATTGGACTTCCAGTTTAATATCATTTTAATCTTTCTGCATCTAGAAAAGCATATTTATAGTTTGTTCATTCCATCAATGAATCTGAAATGGGTCTCAAATGTGTAAGCACTTGGGGTTGAAATTGGTTTCGGTGCTGCAGTTTCTTAGGTTATTTGACATACAGATTTACTATGCTTTGATGATAATAAGCAATTTCTAAGGGGAGACAATAGAGGAAAATACTGAGTTTAATTTCACTCAGAATCTAATGATCTGTTTCTCAGTTAAAAAAATTTTTTATAAGCCCCATAAGATATGAATTACTTGCTATCTATAGCCTTAACCTCCCACCAAAGCATTTCATATATTAATTGATAGAGACAATTTTAAATGTAAGCTCTCTGAAAACTATACCATCTTTGATGACTTTATGGATTGAGTATGATGTTAAGACACTTAGCATTAGGTAGTAGATTCTAAACATTTGAAAAATAACAACAAGCTTAAACACAAGGATTTTGTACTGCCTGTATGTCTCTTGAGCTGGATGGACAGCAAAACCACTAATTTAGCACCTCTGAGACGCATATTGTTAGTCTAGTAAGTGGGGTTATCAGGAATTCATGATTTGTGCAAAGAGGTTTACAGATCACCAAGCACTCCCAGGACAACTATTTTATTTTCATGGCTACAATATTCCTGAATGGGAAGCTGTACTTAGAGAAAAGTGACTTATCCATGGTCATGTCACTAATAACCAGTGACAAAGACCAAGGCGAAATCTGAGCTCTGCCATCATCAAGTACCACTGCTCACAGTTCCCCATGGCCACCTCTCAAATGTGTGTGTAGTACAAGTCCAAATATGCGCATGACTTTAAAGTTTTCACAAATTGTGTGAAGAGAATCTGTTTGCACCTTCTCAGAGAAGCTATTTGGACTACACTGTGTGTGCTCAGACAATATACTGTCTTTGGGAGCCAAGTTTCAAGCTTGAAATCAGACTGACTGGACTTGTGTTGACAGATATTGGGTGAGTGGGCTCAGAGAAGTCACCCAATAGTCAAAACTACAGTTTCCTGAGCAAAAAGGTAGGGCAAAGAGACGGCAACTTCTATTTTTAGGTTAAAGCTAAACAATGTGAGTTAACCTTGAGAGCATGTCTAAAACACTCACAATACTGGTTTTTTTTTTATATATATATAAATCTCACTATTACAATCAATCCAGAATCCCCACATTATTATTTTATGAAACGAGTCAAAGACATTTTTGCCAGAACAGGTAAGGGGCAACACTGGTATTTCAAAACCCACACTTGTTTTCATTTCATTCTCAGGCTGGGAAGCCTCGGTGTCCTGGCAGTGCCCGCTTCGTGTTCGGGACACGCTACGCAGGAATACAAGCGAGCAGCAGCAACAGAGCGGTTTCCATGCCCACCTACAGGGACACCAGCGCCCCCTCGCTTTCCCTCGCCAACCGGAGGCTTAGGACTGAAGGTGGCTGGGGTAAGAAGCAACCTCTGGCCCCAGTGGCTAGCTCAGGCTGCCCCGCCCCTCCTTCCAGGACCTGCGGGTCTCCAGCTACCTGCAGACTGGTGAGCGCATTTGCAGCTTGGTGCGGATGCAGAAGTCTGGGGGGGGGGGGGGGGAGGTGTCACAGTCCCCAACCAGGAAAGCAGAGCCGCAACCCCCCTCCCTGAAAGGGAGCAAGCTGTGCCCCCTGCACGTGTTGCTGGAAGAGGAAGCAAAGAGCTCGGGGGGCAAGCCCAGCTGGTGGCTGACCCCGGGAAAGGCAAAGGCTTACGTGCCCTGCCGGACCAGGGAACTGGAGGAAGTAGAACGGAGGGAAGGAAACCAGGAGGAAATCTGGACCCCGGCATGAAGGGCTGGGAACACTCCAAAACGGAGGGTCAGGCGCTTCGGCGCTTCGGCGTACAACTGGTCCCTAGAGCACCGACCTTGCTACTATGGAGGAGTAAGGATTGGGAAACCAGATGGGTTGTGCAGGAGGGAGCGGACCAGAGCCGGTGAGGGTGGGTTGACGGTTGAGGGTGGAGTGACCGGATGCAAAGGCTGAAGCTAAACAGAAAATGGAAGAAAATCTTTCGGAAAACCAGTGAGAGTAAGGACAACTGAGCTAGGCGACTGTAATGAGAAAGCTGAAGAGGAAAGGGAAAGGACAGAATCCAGAAAGAAGAGTGAGCTCATGAAAGTGTAAGAAATAACTTTGAAAAGAAAGAAAAGGAAGAAAGCAAAATGCATCTGGAATACAAATTCAATGGGGGGAGGGGCGTGAGGTGGGGGGTGGGATTAAACTAAAGGGAACTTGCCCTGAAACTGTCAGGGAAAAAGAAAAAAGCCATCAAGCACATTGGAAGAACAGAAAGTGAAGGAAGGGAGAAAGGGAAGGAGACCAGTTAAACCAGACAAGAAATAGTAAGTTACTTTTTAATTCCTTTTTCACTGACAAACTACTTGCAAAATCCTTAACCAACACCAAGATCCAGATAGATAAAATGCATCCCAGGAATATATGCAAATTATTTTATTAGCTGCAAATATCAAATTCAAGAGCAGATTAAAAATTCTTGAATGTTTACCCACCTTTTACAGACTGGTTCAGTATACACAGACACACTTCTACTCTGTAACTAAGTGGACAGGGATGGAGACATTCAGAAAATCACCTTTTCCGAGAAGTTAATAGAAACACCTCCAAGGCATTTTAGTATCCCTCCTTTCCCCAAAGGATCCAGGCAACAATATGTCTTGGAATTCAAAGGCAACCTGCCCACACTGTAGCACTTTCTGTCACTTGCATTCAACCATCTGTTGAGACAACTGTGAGATCCCAGGCTGCAGTGGAGACGCCCAGACTTACCTGGTCTGTGCAGGTGGTGCTGCTGGAAAGTATGCTGAAGGGATCCATGGCAGAGCAGCATTGCACAAGCACTTATCCACAAATACAGGACCCAGGACATCGCAGAGACCATTGCCATTCTCTGAAAAGAACATTAAACAGGAAGGATTATCCCCAGCTTCAAGCCCCCAGCTCAGTTAGCCCTGCTGCTGAGAGAAGGGGCTTCTCAGAAGTCATGTCCTTTTACGACTTAGTTGTCTAGAATTAATGACCTGGCAGAGGTCAGGCCATGAAGGGAGATGGAGGGAAAGCACTCTGGAGCAGATCATGAATTCATTTTTAAATTCTGTAAAAGCAAACTCTAAAGAATGCCAAAATACAAAAATAAATCAAAGTTTTGGGCTACCAATGAGACAGTTTGAAACACTGCCTGTTTTACACAACAGGCTTTATCTCAAGCATTTAAAAAGCTGCATTCTAACTCCTCCTGTTCATTCTAACTTCATTGCAAGTCTGACATAAGCCTGACTTTTTTTTTAAATTCTATAGTCATGAATTTTTAATCACTATGCTGTCTTCTAAACTAAGTAATCATTTCTCAGAGGCATGTTGTAATCTCCTAATAGAACCGGTCTTTTTGGCTGGACTTAAAATCAGGCGGAATTGTCTTCCACCAGAATGAGTTTCGGATGTAAGAACTATGCTTCTATCCTAGAGAGAGCCATAATTTGCAATATTGCTTGGCCATCCAAGATCCCTTTGTGGCATTTGTTGTATAGCAGTGATGAATATGCATATACAGGTGGTCTATGTATTTATGGACGAACATACACCTTTTCTCAAGCGCTGAAACTTTGACAGCCTTATCTGCACCTGTAAGGATCTTAGAAGCTAGAGAGGTTCATTTACACTACACATTGTCCAATTTCTCACACAACACCTTATGTTGCATTTCATATTGCCAAATTAGTCAAACTTACAGCATCACATCACCCTCAGTCAGTGATATGGAAGCATTTCCCATATAACAATCCAGTTGAGAATATGCTGTTATCATAGAGCTTCCTAGCTAAGATTGTTTCCTTATTTATTTCTTTTCCTGTTTTTCTGTCCAATCATACATTTCAAGTATTTTAACTGTACATTTAAAACCTACTTGTGCTTCCCAGTGTGGCTTCTTTATTTCTTTATTCAGGGAAATTGGTATGCTTTCAAAAACTGAAATATTAAAAAAGCAAATGTATACATTAGACACACACACGTGTGTGTATGCTTATATATATATATATATATATATATATATATACAGACATAATACAGGATAATTTATGGATTTTAGGGGACAGATACAGAATTAACAGAGGTTTAAGACTATAAAAAACAAATGGTGACAAGCACAATTAAGTGCAAAGTAGGAAAACATTATTTTCAACAGCGTGGTGCCTTTCATACTCCAGCCTGTGATTCAGATGGCCCATTCACTTTATAATTAGTTTCACTGCCCACTATTTACTTTTGTATACAACAGATGCAGACTCATTATCTTCAGAGCTATCTAGTAAAACACTGATGCATTTCTCTTCAGTAAAGATAAATAGCAACATCCACCCCTGTGAGTCCTGAAATAAATGCATTTGGGAATCTCTTCAAAATACCCTGCAAATTATGGAAAGATAAAACAGAGGTGACTGTGGCATGTACTGACTGTTTGTGAATTTCATTTAAAATGTACTGAGAATTCACCTAAACTTGTAAAAAGACTACCACAAGGAAAACTTACCAGTTTTTCAATTACTCTGCTTTCTCTTGTTCATTTCATCACCCACATAGAACTTAGCACTCAAAAAGATCACTATGATGTGACACTTAACAATATTCTTTCTTCCTTTTTTTTTTTCATTTAACTTTCTTTAATTCTTAGCATTACTTCCAATGTCCCTGCATATCACTCTCATTGCTCACTCTCTTATTAAGAGGTTGTCTGTGTTAATAGGTGTTTTCCCCAAATAATGCAGCCAGCCTTACATAGTTCTCTAGACCTGACTGAATCAGTTACAAATCAGCTTTCTGAATCTTAAATCCTTAAAGAGACTTCTTACCTGAAAAATCCAGCCCAGAGCAGAGTACTCTATTAGTGTTCATTGGAAAGCTCTAACACTTTCTAAGATCCATCTGTGCCACAATTCAAGATTTTTTATAAAACAGCCTCCCAATAATCTTCTTTATCAGGATTAAAAAATGTTTTTTTTTTTTTCTTCTGATGCTATTTCCACAGTAAAGAAGACATCGGGTTCATTCAGACTGTATTGTCAGAAAAGGAGCCAAGGTTTGAGGGGTGGAAACCTTGTCATTTTCACCTTTAAATCATCTCCTGGCGTCACCTCTGCCTGACGAGACCTTTGAAGTGCTGTGCAGTTTCCTGATGGGAATCAGTTTATAGTTAATGACGGACCATCCCCACGCCAGTGCATTCGGGGCAGAGTAAGGCAGCAAAATGTAGGAGCAGGACTGCTATACGGTGCTGTAAGTAGCAGTAGTCTGTTTCAATACATCCCTCCTCTGTAAAGTATCACATGTCTTAAAGTGACATTACCCTCTATTACAGCTACAGTGAATTGTAATACCTGCCCACTAACTCCTCAACAATTCAAGTGGCACTTTAACACTACATTGCCTGGCACAGTATGCTAAAATCTCTAAGGTTTTGCTGATACCACTTATTAGTCAAACAAGTAATTAAAGAGGGAAGGAGAAAAAAAAAGAAAAAAAGCATTCTGCAAATATTGATAGTGTTAGGGAGCGTCAGACTTCTAACAGTAATTGGGCAAGTAAAATGGGAACCTTTTCTTACCTCTTAATGTTCATTTAACCAGTGAGTCAACCCAAATTATTGCTGTTTATGCAAATTTAAGTGTGCTGGTTGTTTTGGTATATCTGGAATACAACATAGATGTTTATGTGCACAAAGACAGTAAAAGCCTCCAGAGTTTTTTAAGCATGCTTAATAAATAATAACATGTTATTTTCATCACTGAAATTTGGGTTTTGGCAAACAAACATGTTCATGGCACTTTTTCAAAAATTTCACTCTCCCTCTTGGAGTGGGGAGCAGAAATACTCAGAAATTCAACTTCTTGATTCTAGTACCATGGTTTGAGGGCTTTCTTTTCCAGAAATACAATTGTTCCTTATCATCAATGACGTACACAAGGTGACCTAGTTTTCTCCATGGATTGCATTTGTACTAATTCTCAGAAATACTCATTCAGATATTTCATCAAACACCTATAAAGCACCTACTATGTGTTAGAGGTTTAGCGACAAGGCAGAGAACAGATTTAATGTGATGCTCCCTCTACTAGATCATATTGTTAGTCCTCATGTTGTTTTCTAAATCAAGGTAGTTCTTAGAACATTCTTTCCTCAAATTACTTCAGGCCTCTCAGAATATTCTCTTGTCTTTGCAAGCTTGATAAAAAAAAGAAAGACACATGCTACAGTGTGTCTTTGGATGCTGTTCATTTCTCATGTGACACAGAGAGTGACGGACCCTTCAGAAAGATGAGTCTTCCCCACCAGTCTTTAACTTTGACAATGCTCTATAACATAGCAGCTGCACATTAAACCTTACTCTAAACAAATTTTAAGGTAGAAGCAAATAATAATATCGTAGTTTAAAATAAGAATATCAAAGTTCCATTAGATATCACATGGTTCATTTCTGTGGCTTATTATTATTGTGTTGGTAAGTATAGACAGGAAATTTACACCAACTGGCAGATTAAGGCAAAAGTAGTAACAGCAGCAGTCCAACATTAAAGTAAGTTGCTTTTAAGTATAATCTAAACTATTCACTAACCCCATAAAATGTTGTTGTTATCTCCATTTCATGGAGACTCTAAAACAGGATTAAGAACCTTGCTCAAGGCAATATAGATAATGAGTGATAAACCACATTTTGCATCCCACTGGTCTGACCCAAGTGCCCATCTCCTAAACACTTGAATTAAATACTGCATGGGAAAATAACTCCCCAAATTAACCATTACATTTTATTATTTAACATTAGGACAGTCTCAAAAATAATCCAATCATTCATTCAAGGGTTGCAGATAGACTGCAGGCCAGGCTTTTGAAATATATGAGTGTAGAGGATAGTCTGTTCACTAATTTGTTGGTTTCATTATTGTTATGATGACATATTCAAATTAAAAAGAAAGCCACATTCATTAATAAATGTTCCATTTTGAAAAACTTTGTGACCATGTTCTTTATTATTTTTAGGGATTAAATTTAGAATCATTATAGTGACTTATCTATAATTCAACTTAATAAACTTGAAACATGTACTCCTGAATTATGTGCAAGGCATTCAAAGTAGATACTGTGGACTTTTTTTTTTTCCCTAAAAATGCATTGGTAGAGGTTTAAGTGATTGTATGTCTGTATGTGTGTTTGTGTTTATGTGAATGTGTACATGATAAAATAAGAATATAAATAGTTATATTGTTTTCTCCCAAATAGAGTATAGTCCAATGTACTTGTCCTAATAATATAACTACCAACAGATAATGACATTTAAGGTCAGTTAGCCCATTCTCTCCATCTAAAGCAAAACTATCCTCCAATCTGTCAAAGAAGTTAAGTGGCCCATGGCAAAACTCCTGATCCTTGTATTGTTGTGTAGGCCATAAGGCCATAATGAAATGACTTGTCAGCAGAACTGATGTTATTGCTTTGAGAATAGAAAGAATAGAACCTGTAGGGGTTGAAGCAACAATTTCGAGCTCTCTCTTGGTCTCTGTAACAGGGATCACCTGTGCCATCAGTCTGGATTCTTGGTGACTATATTCAAGAAACATTCCTCCCTATCTTCTAGCGGCCTACATGGACTTACATAATGGATAAGAAACTGTTGGCTCAGCAATTAAGACCTAGCGATTATTTGGGATTTCAGCATAACCTAGTTTATTTTCACTGATAAAGATGTTAATCTGTATAATTCACATATTAATCACATTTTTATGTTGCATGAACTTCCCTAAGTGCCAAAGAAAAAATGGCATACATATCAGACCAAATTTCTGCCTTCACAGAGCCTCTGCAGAAGAAATCCATTTGATCAGAGTAATGGCAAATCAAAGTATTAATTATGACAACCATATGCCCTTCCAAGCCAGAAGTCAAACAGATCACTCACATGATCCAAAGTCATGATCTTCTTGGTCACTTTGTTATGCCAGTACAATATTTCAAAAGGCAAAGGGCTAATCACATCATTATTTTAGCCCATTTAGTTTCAGAAATTCAAAAACCACCAAGTAGTTGTCTATTCAAACTGATATAGGCCTAAAAGCATACATTAAATAAACACAGTAATAAGTATATGCACATTTGTATGCAAAAAGAAAGAAAATTCTATTTACCAGTAACTACTCCCCTACAGAGAAACCCACATTTATTCAAAAGAAACATCCAATGAAAATAA